CACACTAACATACACACTCACACACACACACACACACACACAAAGCACACACACACACACACACACACAGAGCACACACTCGCACAATTACATACTTACATATAGGCCTACATGTATATATACATGATAATAAATACACACAAACACACGCGCGCGCACTCACATGAACACACTTACGTTTAAAGACGCGCACGCAGACAGTTAGTCAGACAGACAGATAGACACACACACACACACACACACACACACACACACACACACACACACACACACACACACACATACACCTGTATCCCCCTCCTACATACATACACACAAACACACGCGCCCGCTCCGGCTCGCGGGCCACGGGGTAGAATAATCATGATTCGCCCCAGCTTCAGTTCTAAAGTCCTTAGTCCCTAGTGCGATTTGGAGGAATGTGGGGAAACTCGTGCCATGGCTGGCTGGAGATGACCATCGAGCGTTCTGTGATTGTGGCCTCTATTGTCCGAGGGTAGCAAATCGGACGAAGGTCATGAAGTACAACGCGTAAACAGTAATTAATGTTTTGGTGGGATTAATCAAAGCGAGGCATGAGGGACGGATGGGTTTGGGGGGTCCATACGGCCGGAACTGAGAAGCGGAAAGTTGGAGGGGGTGATTTGGGGTGAGGGGGAGAGAAGAGAGGAGTCTGGAAATGTCATAGAAGGGAGAGGGTAGGGACGGGGTGGGTGGGGAGAGAGGGGTATGGGAATTCTAAAGATGGGACAGGATTTGGGAAAGGAGGGGGGGGGTGTTGAGGAGAGAGGTGAGAGATGAGAGGTGTATGGAAATCCTACAGATGGGACCGGGTTTGGGAGGGGGGAGGGAAGCCAGGAAAGAGGTGTATGGAAGAACATAACTTGTTGAAAGGGTTAGGAATGGGTTTGTTTGGGGTGGGGGGGAGGGTTGAGAAGGTGTCCAGGAACGTGGACAGTTGAGTTTTCTCCCTTGACCTACGGGTACTTCGCGTTGGGTATGTGAACGCCTGGGCACACCCAGGGATCAGCTGGTCATGGAAGAGCAGGGATGTGAACCAGAGCGTGCCACACCTGACCACGAGCTCGACGTGTGGGATGGGGGGGGGGGGGGGGATCATGGTACTAACAATAAATGTGATCCACGTTTTTTAAAATAAAAGACCTGTGTGTACACGCGCGCACGCACGCACGCATGCACACACGCACACGTACGCGCTCGCTGGGCAGTTTCTACCTCCTTTCTTGCCCCATTCCTCAACCATCTTGACTTCCACAACTTGGACACGCGAACCCAGCTTCAGCCAAGAGCTGTTTTTGTCTAACACGGTGCAAAATACGGCGGAAACTGCTCTCTAACGACCACCTGTCTGAGACAATCCCGTATACAGACAACCACTATCCCCCCCCCCACAGCCTCCTGCGTCTATTCATTATTACAATGACACTTCCCAAGAGTACCACCTGTTTAAGATGACCACTTTCCTCCTCGGAACTGGAGATCTCATTGGACACGCTCGGCCTAACATGACATATTTTGAAGAAAAAACAAAGAGTATGGTCGTGGTTTTCATCTTCCTGCTGTTCTGTCTAGATCATCGCCAGAATCCGATTAGAAGCAGGGGCAGAACTGTCTGACCTAAATTGCGGAGGGAGAAATGTATTATGAATACCACCCGTGAGTGTGAGCGAGGCCATACTTTAGTCATGTAACGCGTCCCGCTAGTTAAGAAGTAGACTGCTGTAGACTGCTGTCTACAGACTAGCATGTCATTAGATTACTAGAGTCCAATGTTTTAAACATAATATCAAACTGAAGAGACGCGTACAAAACTCATCGACTACCCTGAGAGAGTACGCACCCAGCCTATCAGCTGCTAAAACACGTCAATTACAGTCAGCACGTGACTTCATCTCCAGCACTCACAGGGGATAACATCCCAAAGATTGAACAACAAGTGTAGCACACACAGACAAGAAAAAACCCACAAATCTTTATCCACGTAACTTGTCTGGTAAAAACAACAATCCCTGACGAGAGTGATAATTCCACAGTCGGTGTCTGAGTGCAACATATAATTTGCCGCGAGATCTCGTGCATTTTTGCCCCTACTTCTATTCAGATTCTTCAACAGACGAAGGAAAAAGTCTGAGATTCCTCTCTGTTCGCTCCGAAATTAACCCAATGTTGTCTTTTTCTCTCTATTCCCCTTAGGATTGAGATAGTACCTGGAAGTGACTTTTTCTTCTTCAACAATCCCAAGCTTCTCAAGGGCAGACATGCACACCCAACACACGTGCACTCCCTCCCAGCACGTGAGCAGTGAGATACTCGCCTGTTGGCGCGATACCTGGTAGAAGTCCGCTATCATCACACTGCGTGAGCTCACACTGCTTCTTGCACACAATGATACGAATATCTTATGTGTGAAGGTAGATATGTTACGTCCCAATCAATATCATTTAGATCATTTTGGAGGTGAGCTGTTTCGACCCAGGATGTCAGGGCCAATCCGGTCTGAGGAAAACGCAACGATCTGGCAGACAGAACGTTCTCTTAGAATTATAAAGTTCTGTTAGACATTTTCTGTCCCTTTTGAGTTACTATGACAATGAGGTTATATCTGTCTGCTCTATCAAAATCGTATTATTATTCAGAGTAGTTATCAAGATATTCAAAGAATTGCATTCGAATGTACTTGACATATTATTATGAAACTCAAAATTGTTAACGTAAAATTTCTCACAACTACTCGTAGGTATTGAACAGATAGAACGTAGTAATTCTAGGGTAGCAAGACGATAAGAAACCTCACTACAAAGACTTCTGTCCTCCTTTCTTAAACAAGGTTAAAGTCATCTCTCTCTAGGGACGTCACCGCCACCCCCACGTTGGCCCCACAGAGAGCAGAAACCCCCAGATGTACGTAGAAGGTCAAGTAAGTTTCGAACAGGCGGCTCAAGTACGGCTTTACCGCTTGGAATACGCTCCAGATAGAAGCAGACAAGTTTGGACCACCTTGAGGTCCCGTGACAGCACAAGTGACGCCATTGTCTGCCACGAGCGGGGCTCCTCTTTGTGACAACGCCGTTTATCCGGGGCTCCCGGAGAAACTGTTTACATATCGATTACACGATATCTGCACAGGCCCACACCAGATATTGTGCCGGCTGGAGGTACCCCAAAAAAGCTGTAAAAAGTCTTAATTTACGACGGCATTTTTCTGTCTGATTGTTTTGAGGATTTTCCTTATAGTTTTAAGCTGCTCGTTGAGTGGGAAGATAAGAAGACAATCGGGGACAACCAATGCCGCTCTCCGCAGGGAACCGGAAGTACGTCAGAGTGTGCTATCTAGGATATTCTACCACAAGTCTATGAATGGCTCCGTCCTACGACGGTCATGGGAAAACGGAATCGCCAGCTTATCTTTCGGGTTTTCATTGTCTTTCTTTCCTAACATTTTTCTGCACCTAAAGGGCAAGCGTAGCAGCCGCATGTGCAATGTGAAGGGATTTTCTAAATCCGTATCTGACATTTTCACGTACTCTCACAGGTTTGATTGACTTATTATCGTCACCGACCCCCGTACCCTGGGGAGGGATCTCAAAGACGGAAGGTGGGACAGAAGTGTCAAATGTGATTTACGCCAAGGAAAAGTCTCCCTTGTGTTTTTCGAATACACTTCAATGGGAGGGAGCCGATTGCGTCCTGAACTGTTGGTTTTTGGGGGGATTTTTTGTTCTGTTTTGGGTTGGGGTTTTTCTTTTTTTGGAAGGGGGGGGGGGGGGTTGTTGTTGTTGGTTTTGTTGGGGGGGTTTTTGGGGTCTCCTCGCTGGGGTGTCATGGAACGACCACTTCCACGTCCTGTTTACGAGGGGTAGGAGAAAGGACCCACTGAGCGTCGCTTTATTGGTTATCTAACGACCTCAAGACGTTTCCCCTGATTGCTCCAGGAATTGAATAGGGTGATTTTTAACGGGACCTAATCGACGCTGTGACGTTTTAATGACGGCCCAAAAACGGGAACCAACGAGAATCTTTCAGGAAGACGCGACTTAAGAGGGAAAGCTAAAGCCAGCTTAATTAAACACTGACCATGGATTTAGACTTCTTGTCACGTTTCTGGGAGTCACGCATAAGGCCATTGTGCGGGTAGAATGTTTTAGAGGGCATTTCGGAGAGAAAGAGACACAGACAGTGAGGGAGGGGGAGAGAGAGAGAGAAAGAAAGAGAGAGAGAGAGAGAGAGAGAGAGACAGACAGACAGACAGACAGACAGACAGACA